TTACGCTGTTATTTGGCTCTTATTTTGCTTTTTTTGCGTTAGATATAGGGAATTGGGTTACTGGTCTTACGAGCCACTTCTCAGAGGAGCAAAACGTCCACAGCTTCTTACAGAGAAATATTGGGAAGTTTGTAAGAAATTTAAAATCACGTTGCGAAATGCATATTAGAGTGTATCGCTTTTCGAGCTAAGTATCCAAATAAAATCGGTTTAAATCTTTGCAATGCATCAGTAAGGCTTAATAAAAAATTGGAATGAAAGGCTTAGAACAGGGAAATTGGAGAAACCTCTTTATAAGTGGCAATGCTGATAAGGTTCTTTACACGCTCCTGTATATTGTTATTTTTAGAGTATTTGGGCTAGAGCATAACTGGAAACAATGATAGTATTAGATTTATTCTTGTTCTAAAAATAAGGTGGCACACTTGATTAATGATTAAAATAAGGAAATTTGAAAATGTGTATTGTATCATAATCACAAACATTATTTTGCGCTTTTTTAAACCATGATATATTCTCTAGAACAAATTCATTCTGACACATGAATATTCATCGCGCTTGTAATCCTACTTCTTTTAGTACTGTTGTTTGAGTAGATATTGAAAGACTGACTCTGGACGATTCGTAAAAATGTCCTGATATTCGATATAAATACCTTGCTCTCTTTTCTTCATCTTTTCCAGTAGATTCTTTTTGAGCGGATTGGGATTTTTTCTCTTAGCGAAAATTGAGGATTGCTTCCGTTTAGATACTCAGCTAGCTACAGCTCATGAAGAGACTGCATTAGAGGGAGAAACAGAGGAACCGGCGAATGTCGAACACCATTTTATTTGTTACGTCGAAAAGGATGGCGAACTATATGAAATTGGTAAAATTGTATTTCTTTTCTTTTCTTGTAAATCGGGTTCCCTTGTGAAATCAATTTCTTAACAGATTCTTGTGCACCGTTTCCTCGCTCACTTGGTCAAACCTCTGGAGGATCGCTATTGAGTGCTGCTGGAAAGCATGTGAAAAAACTAATGGAAGACATTGGAGATGCCTCATTTTCAGCTATGGCATTAGTAAAAACTGCCTGAACTCTTTGGAAAACCAGGCATGTGTCTCTTAATCGTCCTGCCTTACCTCGC